GGATCAGAGTTTCATTCATTAGAATGAAATTCCGATCCGAATAAAATGCCGAATTGCGTTCTAAAAGAAACGAACATACTGTTGTCATTCGGTTAGAACGCAATTCGGCAGTTTCATGTAAAATGACAGGAAGCATTGTGAGAACACTGAGGAAAGCTAGGGATCATGGGAAAATTGCTCTGACCAGCGGAAATGAAGCACACTTTGCTCCTCCGCTGGTCAGAGCTGGTCAAGCGGAGGAATCCTCCATAAGGCAAAGAGTCCCTACTTTGTCTTATGATTTTAAAGAAAACTAAAGAAGACAGGAAGAAATGAAGAACAGATCCTGAGAGAGGGGGAGAAGAGGAAGAGATTGAGGAAAGGTAAGTTCGGCATGACAGTGCCGCTTTAAGTAAGCATGAGGAAGAGAATGGTTTCCTTTCTGATGTTCTGGTTGCGAACCTGCCTTTTTATACCCCATCAGCATAGTAACAGGCTGATCTCCAAATTTTTGTATCCTGAATACATTTCCAGAGCTGGCAGAAAGATGTTCCATCTCAACAATATCCACCAAAGGAAAAGATTAGTCATACACATTGCAGCATGTGGCTTGTTATAAATGTTACAGATGTAACAAAGAAAAAGACAAAGCAGGGGCGTCTCTGTTTATGGCAAGCAATGTTTTCTGAGGTCAAACTGTGTCCTAAATTGGATCGTTGGCTTCTACCATTTTACACAATCCACATTTTGTTTAAACATCTATACAATTCTGTTTATATTTCATCTTCTAGCTTCTGTTTTTTGAGACACAGCTGTGTCAGAGACAGTAGCTAACTCTAAACATTTTATTTTTGCTCCAAACCCATTTGTTTTTACATTTTGCTGATAAATATTCATGTGATTTGTATTTGAGTAATAGCAATATTTCAATTTCAAAGACACATTTTTTTTATTTAACTAGGTTAATAAATAAGTTGGTGATCAGGCACTGAATATATTGACCTGGCTTCTAGATGAGAATTAGTTGTCCACCCACCTTGGGCAGTAATATCTCATAATATGGGCACAGGACAATAACCCGTTTGATGTGTCAGAAAATCAGAAGTGCAGAAAATCTCTGCTTTGTTTAGATTTAAGGATTCATTTGATCCTCAGGACTGCAGAAAACAGAATAATCTAAGTTGTTTACATTTTTTACAGGCCTTTACTGCAATGTCTCAGGGCTTTCTGAACTGCTTGGCATACTGGTTCATTCAACAGAGACTACAATGCTTAAATAAGAACAGCAGTCATGATATGGGAACACAAACGCCACTGCTGAGCTCACAAAAGAGGCAGTATGCCAGTACACAAATTGCCACCAATTGTGCACTACGACAGGACAAGTCCTCATTCTGATCATGTCAAGACCCATCAAGAACTTCTTCAAGCACTCAAACTGAATTGTGTAAAATCTGTGGGACACTCCGATTCTGGAATTTGGAACACTAATTGTCAACATGTTTGAAAAGGAAAAAAACAAAAACGTTTTCCTTTGTTTTTTTTTTTGCCAATGAAGTCACTTCGTTTAGGATGCTATGTGGAATTTCTTATGTGAGATTTTGAATGAGACTTGAGATGAGATGCTATAGACACTAGACGATATAGTCTTCCTTGTTCAATTATAATTTTTTTTTTTTTGAAGGGTGACCCACCAATAATGGGATTTTACATTATTTTGCAGAAAGGGAAGACACCACATCGCGTATATAATTTATATTTATTAAAATAAATGTGGATAATGCTTTCTAATTTAAAGGGCTCAACTACTGAGTCATTTTCGAACCCTAGACAATCATATGGTGGTGCCAGCTTATTTATTTTTAGAGAAGGAGCTCCAGAAATTGGAGAAAATAGACAAGGGCGGAGGAAACTGAAGTGGAAATAGCAACTATTGTGGTGAAGAAGATGAGGATTTCTTGCAATGTGGAAGAAAACTGTGAGTGAAGAGGACTGAAATGCAGGATGTGCATTAATTACTAGTCTTGTGCACAATGGAAAAAGTTAGTTTGACCAAATAAATTTGCTCGAAAAATTTTTTGTGCTAGTGGACTGAAATGTGTCCTTGTGGCATTTTGGTTTGAATGAATTTTATTTATGCAGTTGTTTTGTGAAAAATGTTGTGAAAAATGTGCCAATCAGTGTATTGCAAAATTTAGACTTAACATAACATTAGGTATATATTTTGGTGGGCGCATTTTCCCACCACTTTGTTTACAGGTAAAGCGAGAAGTAATAGCTAAAAGAAGGGGGGAGCAGTGAAAAAAACAACTATATTTTTCTTTATTTTCCCCCTTTATCAGTCACTTATCACTTGATCTGTGAATAAAAACATTTAGTGGCGGTGCCCATCCAAAACTCATCTTTTTTTCTCCATCATTTACATTTTGTTTGGCGCCACGGGCAGAACTCAGAATTACGAATCACAGGAAATTTTCCGTCGATTGACCAAAACTTGGCCAAATTTAAATTTGCTTAATGGATACTTGCATTGGGAGTCAAAGTGATTTCAAGGTGAATTAAAATGTTATTAAGGCTTATATAGGTGAACTAAAAACACGCATGACTTGGAGAGTTGTTATGCCATTTTTGCTATAGTTTTAATTCCTAACAGTTTACAATTTAGTGAATAAGTCTGTAGTCGAGGAAAGAGTTGTTGATAATGGGTCTGGATTAGTTTCATTACCCGATTTTTTTTTTTTCTTTTATTTTTTTTTTCAGAGTTCTCTATTGGGATGAAAAAGGTTTGCATTCACTGACCTCAGTGTTTGTATAGCTAGCTTGATGCCTCTTTGTATAGGGGCCATTTAAAGATTGTGTGCAGGGGTCACTTTAAAAAAAACATTTGTTGTCATGCATATGTTCTGTTCTTTTGTATTTTTTATGAACTGGAACTTTTTAATTAGATAATAAAAACCGGCCATTTTGTCAGTTTAAACTGACACACTATATTTAAAGAGCTGATCTACACGTGATTATTATAACCGCATTAAAGGACAACTACTCTCCTTTTTTACTCATCACTTTGTTGTTGTTTTCAGAATTAGCATCTGTTAAAGATCAGGGGTTTTAGCAGAAATGTGTGGGAAATACAGACCAGCTGTAAAAAAATGATAGCACTTACAATGTGTGTGATTTATAGTCCTATACTGAATGAAAAATTAAAACCAAAACAACATACTTTCACTCCTAAAGAGTAGCAGCATTGTAATACCAAATTAACAGAGTGTGTGTGTTTTTTTTTTAAAATATACTGGGGTAATATTAGTGCTCATTTAATACAACTAACCATTTCATAGAGTTATAAACCAGTGCTGTAGAAGCAGTCACCTAGGGCCCACTAATGCGCACACATAGCTGATGGCTTGACAAAGATACTTTACATGTCAAAACGTTGCCTATTCCTGTTTGATGGCTGAATAAATTACCATTATCTCAACCAACTGAGTGCTAAAGATTTTTTTCAATTTTATGCAAGTGAACGTTCGATGAACAAGGACCTCAACTGTAGCACAGGTACCAAATCTGTTGGCGTTTCACTGACATACAAAGTTTGTAACATTATTGTCATAACGTTGGAATGTCTTGTGATTTCCCAACACATTCAGAATTCCTAGTGAAAGGCAGCAAGCACACTTGTAACTACTGGTGGCACTCATTATAAAGCTTTACTGAAAAGCACGTCAGCATCTAACTGTGTGCACAGGAACACTGTAACGTTAACGCTGCCACTTTACATACCATAAATGAACAAAGTTGATAGAAAGGCTAGAAGTGGACTGACCAAAATAGGCAACGACACTGAATATCATTTGTTTAGCTCCCTGAGAGTTACTTATGTGTCATTATTTCTGTCAATAGACAGATCAAGTAGCAGGATCTGCGTCAGCACTTCCCATCAAGTCAACCAATATTAATAGTAGAGGGTGTGGTGTTACCTTCAAGCCCTTTACAAGGTGTCGACATGTGGAAATGTCAATAATGGTTTCACCATCTTTCACGTTTAGATATTTTTTAAGTGAAATAGTGAAGTAAAACAAGACCTGATTTTTATTGTAGTTAGATAATGAGGTGAAAAGGTCACATTTTTAAAAAGGCTTCTTATGCTACTGACACATCAACTGTCAGTAGGAGGCAGACCCTCCTTCCCCCACCAGTAAGAGGCACCACCAGTCAGGACCCTCAATCTGGTTTATGAAACTTGCAGAAATGGGATTATCATTAGAAGTGTCCCATAACACACAGAATGAGTGAAACTGGTCTGTAAACACTGCATACAGTGGCTGTCCTCAGTTTACACACAGTCTGAGTCGTGTCCTGCAGTTGGCAACTTCTCAGAGCCATTGAATGAAAATGGCATCGGGCAGCCGAGCTCTCTCTCCAGGCAGGTTAGGACGCAGAGCCAGAATGATTGTATTCCATAATGGAAACATTTTCGCACAAGCAACTGTCTCCTAGACCACACTAAATGTATGAACCTTTTTGACTATGTGTCTGTTCAACCGTAATTCACCTCTTTCATATTAAGTGCACCCACACTTATTATATATCATTTTATTCAGGGCTTTCATTTAACATCAAATATTTAGCTATGAAACATTATTTAATATGAATAAAATATAAAAACAAATGGGAGAAAATAAGAAATATATTTTTTTTAGTCATAATACTGTTTGTGTTTACTGCAATAAAATACACATATTTGTATTCAGCAAGGTCTCACGTGTAAAACAGTATCCCCAATGTACAGGTTTTTTGGTGTTTTGGGAAGTTACAGGGTCAAATATAGCATGTTACATTTTTCAGTTTTTTCACATTGAAATTCGCCAGATTGGTTACGTTGCTTTTGAGACCATTTGGTAGCCCAGGAATGAGAATTACCCCCCTGATGGCATACCATTTGCAATGGTAGACAACCCAAGGTATTGCAAATGAGGTATGTCCAGTCTTTTTTAGTAGCCACTTCGTCACAAACACTGGCTACATTTCCACTCACTCCTCTAAAATTAAAGTGTCCCTCTTTTGTTTGTATGCACTCACTGACAGACACACACACACACACTATGTTTGGGAGAGCTGGAGTAGATCCTTTCCATGAGGTCCAGTGTGGGACTTGTGTAATCTTCATGCTCTTCCAGCACTGCTCCAGTGTGTTGTTTAGTGAATGCAGGGCCAGAGTGACATCAGAACCCTGCTTTCAGCATCACTGTAGGGCATGCGAGGGACAGTGGTGTACACATGACCCCGGTGCGAAAATTGATCCGTGGGCCCCCCCTGCGCGCAGGCCGGGCCGCAACACATGGCAGTGGGCACCTGGTCGCAGGGGTTACAGGGCTGCGACCCCTGCGACCGCGGTATGTACGCCAGTGCATGCAGATGCACACACAGTTAAAGGACCACTCTAGCTTAATGAAGTGGTCTGGGTGCCAGGTCCAGCTAGGGTTAACCCATTTTTTCATAAACAATGAATGTCAATGAAACATAGCAGTTTCAGAGAAACTGCTATGTTTATGAATGGGTTAAGCCTTCCCCTTTTTCCTCTAGTGGCTGTCTCATTGACAGCCGCTAGAGGCGCTTGCGTGCTTCTCACTGTGATTTTCACAGTGAGAGCATGCCAGCGTCCATAGGAAAGCATTATGAATGCTTTCCTATGTGACCGGCTGAATGTGCACGCAGCTCTTGCCGCGCGTGCGCATAAAGCCGACGGGGAGGAGAAGAGGAGGATCAGAGGAGGAGAGCTCTCCGCCCAGCGCTGGAAAAAGGTAAGTATTACCCCTTTTCCCCTTTCCAGAGCCAGGCGGGAGGGGGTCCCTGAGGGTGGGGGCACCCTCAGGGCACTATAGTGCCAGGAAAACGAGTATGTTTTCCTGGCACTATAGTGGTCCTTTAAAGGACCACTACAGACACCCAGATCACATCAGCTCAATGAAGTTGTCTGGGTGTCAGGTCCCTCTAGTTTAACCCTGCAGCTGAAAACGTAGCAGTTTCAGAGAAACTGCTATGTTTCACTGAGGGTTAATCCAGCCTCTAGTGGCTGTCTCACTGACAGCCGCTAGAGGAGCACACTGAACGTCCATAGGAAAGCATTGAGTAATGCTTTCCTATGGGCGGTTTGAATGCGTGCGCAGTCGCATTCGGAGCTGAGAGGCTGAGGGATCCTCAGCGCCAAGGGAGTCCGGCGCTGGAGAAAGGTAAGTGCTGAAGACACACACACACATACACTTACAGACACATACACACTAGCTAACAGACACACACATTTACTGACAGAGACACAGTCAGCGACAAACGTACATACACACTCACTTACAAAACATACACTCTCATTGACAAACACACACTCACTAACACATCAAACAGACTCACTAACACACACACACACTCAGTAAGACACACACAGTAACACACTCACTGACACTCACTAGCAGACACACACACTCACACACACTAACACTCACACTCACTCTAACACTCACACTAACTAACAGACACACACACACTCACTAGCAGACACACACACTAACACTCACTCTAACACTCTCACTAACTAGCAGACACACACACTCTCACTCTAACACTCACTAACACTCACACTAACACTCACTAGCAGACACACACACTAACACTCACACTAACACTCACTAGCAGACACACACACTAACACTCACTCTAACACTCACACACACTCACACTAACACTCAAACACTAACACTAGTTTTGTTTTGTTTTTTGAAATGTAATCCCCCCAGCCTCCTTACCTTTTGGAGTGCTGGGGGGATTCCCTGGGGTCCAGTGGTGCTGCTGGGCTCCTGGGCGGGTGGCCGGTTGGGCAGGCAGGCGGGCGCGCGAGGGATCACTCAGTGCTTCCTCTTCAGCTCTCTCGCGCGCCGCGCAGGGATGCCGGAGCCGGAAGATGACGTCATCTTCCGGCTCCGGTATCAGTGCGGTGCGTGAGGGAGCGGAAGAGGAAGCACTGAGTGCTCCCTCGCGTGCCCGACCGGCCACCCACCTTCCGGGTGACAGCAGGGCCAGCCTCGGGGGGCCCTGGGGTGGTCGGCTCCTGGGCCCCCCAGGGGAAGAGGCTGGCCTTGTGGGTACATACCGGGTCGCAGGGGCGGCCGGGCCCCTGCGACCCTGGTATGTACGCCACTGGCGAGGGAGCTGTGCTGGCGGAACACCGACATCAGTGCTCCATCGCCGGATGCCTTCATTCTCCTATCCGAACACAGCATACTCAGGCAGAGTAGGCGCAGGCCATCTGGGTAAGTAGGTCGTATTCTGGAGGGCCCTAAGGTGACCAGGCAGACAGAATTTTTTTTTTTTTGCTGTGCATTATAATACAGAGAGTCTTGTGAAGTCACAACAGCATGTACGAGAGCAACAATACTTGACATAGATAAACAGATTGCATGTAATTTTACTGTGAGTAATATTGCATTAAGTGGCTTACCGATGAGGAAGCACAATTTTATAATGTAATTATAATGTTAAAGGACCACTATAGTGCCAGGAAATCAAACTTGTTTAAAAACCCCTTCAGCCATTTACCTTAATCCAGCTCCGTGCTCCCTTGACGCTGGTGACCTCTCCTCCCCATCCAACGTTGGCTCCCGAGTGGAGCCGAATGCGCATGCGTGGCCAGAGCCACGTGCACATTAAATACGCCCATAGGCATGTTTAATAACGTAATGTATACACTGGCTGCGGCGTATTTTCCTAATGTAGAACCCAAACGCTACCTTCAAACTCTATTCCTCACCATAGATGAGGTTAAGACAGGGGGCCTGATCCTATGTGGGGATTTTAACTTTATCCAACTGCCAACCTTAGACACGACAGCTCGCCCCACGGGTAGGAGGAAATCACACACGGGTAGGAGGAAATCACACATAGCCGACACATGTAAAGCTATAGCCAAAGTACTGGCACAACACGGACTATATGATGCCTGGCGAACATTACATCCCACACAGGCTGACTGCACGTTTCGCTCGAAAGTCCACAACACATATACCCAAACAGACACTTTTTTCTAAGACAATGCCACACTAGCGCAATTAAGGGAATGCAGGATAGGGGAAATCACATGGTCGGACCACGGCCCAGTACACCTACACCTACACGATAACTTTCAATTCAGAGGGCGAGGGCAATGGCGCCTTAACGAACGGGACAGGGCAGGTCACCTACAGTATGGTGTGGAGCGCCTATAAAGCCGTAATCAGAGGGCTTTTTATTAAAAGGTCCTCCTATCTTAAGAGGAGAAATCAGCTCACGCTACTAGATGCTTACAAAACCTTAACTGAAGTCAGTATGAAAAATAAAGCACAACCCACGCAAGCGTACTTAAACCAAATAAACGACCTGCAGACGACCATTACCAAACTACAGGCAGACAGAACAAATGGTCTTCTTCATAAGCTTACGGCCACCACGTACCACACCTCCAGCAAAGCCACCAAACACCTAGCAGCATTGCTCAGGGCTAGATCGACCCAATGTAAAATATCCCACATAATAGATGACAACGGCAATAAACACATAGACCCACAAACAATCAGTAACACATTTGCAACCTTTTATTCTAATTTATATAACCTCCACATGGATGACATTAGGCCTCACCAAGCTACTAAAATCCACCTTTCACATTGAACAACACCGTAAAATTGTATACCGTTGGTACTTAGTGCCGACCAGACTGCACAAGATCTTTCCCTCTGCCTCACCACTTTGCTGGAGATGCCACGCAACAGAGGGCTCAATGCACCATATATGGTGGAGCTGCCCACAGCTACATCCTTATTGGACTGAAATCCATGCATTGATCCGAGAAGCCACACAAAGCTCTCCCCTATCCACCCCACACGTATGCATACTGCTGGATCTCCCTAGAGAAATGCCCCAACACGCTAGAAAGTTGACCTTACACATAGCCTTGACGGCGCAGCAATTGATAGCAAGGAGATGGAAGTCCACGATCCTTCCCAAGAAGGAAAACCTCTTAGAGGAATTGCATAAGCAGTGGATTTAAAAAACTTCCTAAACGTCCCTCTTCCCTCTCTCTACACTCTATAGGAAAACTTGGGAGCTTTGGCAAACATGGAGATCTGGTAATATACCGGGAAAAGCACTAGGGGCTGTACCTCGCAAATAAGCTGCAATGTCCTTAACACACCCAAGTTGCAAATGCTTACCCACACCCCCACAGCCACCCGTGGGATGCTGATGCTGATAAGTTGTTATGTGTTGTGTGACATGCTATTGTGGGGACATATTGTCGCTCTGAACTGGAAATAAAGTGGATCTAATGTTACTAAAAATGCTTGTCTGTATCAACCTGTGATGCACCTCCCTCTCTCCTCCCCCCCTCTACCTGTGATGCACCTCCCTCTCTCTCCCCCCCCTCCTCTGTTATGTACCCTCCCCCTGTATAATGAGCGACTGTACAAATCTAATCTCATTAACTATAATCCCATTGTTTTCTGTACCCTGAATACGTTGCTTACTGATAAAATAAATAAAAACTGTCAAATTGAAAAAAAAAACCCATTGGAAAGCATTACTCAATGCTTTCCTATGGACGTCAGCGTCTTCTCACTGTGATTTTCACAGTGAGAATCGCGGAAGCAGCCTCTACTGGCTGTCAGCCAGAGCCTGAGTCTTCTGCGTCCCCAGCCTTCTCCTCTTTACCATCCGGCGTCTGTGGCTTTGGCCTCCCCACCTTGACATCTTGCGGTGGCACATGTTGCTGGTTCTCAGGTCGAATCTGGGAGACGTTACCCTGACAAGTGTCCATAAAAATCCACTTTACTCGTTTCACCTGTAGAGGCTTCTTCAGAAGTGTGGATAAAGTCCTTTTAATGTCCAAATATATAGGGAATCAAACTTAAAGCAATTATCTTCATATGTTTGAAAATTACTTACTGTTTCCTGGTTTTCGTGCGCACGTCATACCGGAAGTGACGCAGCGCCATCTTGGCCAATAATATATTGGAGGATATGGGTTATATTAACCACCGGTGGAACGCACGCGTCATACCGGAAATGACGCGGCGTAACCGGACGATGGTATTCTATGCGTTCCACAAGTGGAACGCAAACAAAAAACGGCAATCGTAATGATAGTACAAACGTATTCTATGCGTTCCACAAAAGGAACGCAAACAAAAAAACGGCGATAGTAATAATAGTACAATACTTCTATACCACTAATAAGGGTATTATCAATCTAATATATTATGATGAATTACATAGTGCATATAATATTGTTAAAATAACCTTAAATCAATTAATCATATATATCTTAATGGAGTGACACCAATAGGGACTTAGCATGCAATTTAAAGTGACAGGTATATAACATCTTTAAATACATTCTCACCATTGTAGAACAAGAGCAGATGATAAACAGCTAAAATAATACTGCTGAAAACTTCCTAAGAGATATCATTTAAAAAATATACTAAAATGAATGAGAAAATAAAAATAAAAGCTATAAGAACATAAGATACATTTAAATAGCTTACAATTGTGGGTATAAATAATATTATATGTAAAATACACACACAAAAAAACACACCATATATTAAAAAATATGGAAAAATCAGCTTGGCATACATAGTAAATGTAAACATAATAGAGAAAAAGATTTGTATAAATGTATGTCAGTATATAATGGCAAAAAAACGTTAATGTGAACAAATAGCATTATCTTATAACAAGATAAATGCAGACAGTAGATACAAAGAAAATAATATAAAAAGCATATAAAACATAAGTAAATATAATGGAAATCAAGTATAAAAATTGATACTTAAAAGCAAAGGCTGTTGCCTTAAAAATATACATATATATATATATGTATGTAATAAAATACGGAAAAAATTTAAATATATTAATCTAAAAGAAGCAACAAGTATTTAGGAGGTAAATATAAATATTATAAAAAATTAAAAAGATCAAAATCTATATTTAATCCATTCGGATGCAAAGTATAAATTTTAAATACCCATTCCATCTCCTTTTTTCCTACTTTTTTGATAAAATCACCTCCTCTCCAATGGTTTTTTACTATCGTGATCCCTATGAATGTGAGAAATTTGGGATCATTATTATACTTGCAGAAATGGGCAGACACTGAGTGTTTTTCATAGTTTTTTTTCAATATTTCTGCAGTGTTCAGCTATACGTATTTTTAAAGGTCTAATAGTACGGCCAATATATTGGAGGCCGCAAGGGCATTCCAATAAATAAATAACATTCTTACTTTCACAGGTAATAATTTCTTTAATGTTGTAAGTCTTATTATTATTATTCGATTTGAAAGTAGACCTACTCTTTTTTGTTGGCTTCGTTTTTTTGCAAGCTATACAGTTATTACATTTAAAAAACCATTGGCAAGGGGTGGGAAATGTTTTGTATGTGTATTTTCTCTTTGATCTTTAGTGTAATTGTTTGTAAGGTGCATTTTTAAATTTGGAGCACCTCTAAACACAATGTGTGGTTTATTAGGAATCATGTCTTTAAGGATAGGATCCTCTTTTAGAAGATGCCAATGTCTATTCATTATTCTTTTTAGATTTTTATTTTTATCATTATAATCCAATACTATGGGTAGAATAACTTGATTTTGTTGTTGAGGTTTTATTTTATGTATAAGCTCTTTTTGATAAATTTTTAACGTTTGTTGAATAGTAGATTCTATCAATTCTTCATTGTAACCCTTATTTGTTAGACTGTTTTTAATCTTATTAGCCTGTTGTATAAGTTTTAGTATGGATAGTGCAATTTTCAATATAGATATTAAGATCTAAATAAGTAATTTCTTTATCGCTAATTTCAGAGGTTAAAATAATTCCCTCCTGGTTTGAATTTAAAAACCGGATGAAATCATGGGCTTCCTTTATAGGGCCTTTCCAAATAAAAATGAGGTCATCTATGTATCTGGAATAGGACACCAGGCTCGATGCCCAGCCATGCCCACTCCAAATATAACGTTCTTCCCATTCTGCCATGAAAAGATTGGCATAGCTGGGCGCGAACCTGGTACCCATAGCCGTCCCTCTATTTTGTAAATAAAAAGAGTCTTTAAACCAAAAATAGTTGTTGTTTAAAATCAAATTAATACCTTCAATTAAAAAATTGATCTGCTCTTGTTCCATAGAATTGTCTTTTTCTAAAATATTTTTAACTGCGTTACATCCTTTATCATGCTGTATGATGGTATAAAGTGACTGAACATCGCAGGTGATAAGTAAAAAATCTTCTTGCCAGGTAATCTTTTCTAACTTTCTCAGTAGGTCTATAGTATCCCTAAGATACGATTTAGACTAGATTACATATGGTTGGAGTAAGATGTCTATATATTCAGACAAGTTTGAAAGTGCAGAGCCAATCCCAGAGACGATAGGACGTCCTGGGGGTCTGGTCAGATTTTTATGGATCTTAGGGAGAAAGTAGAATTTTTGGATGTACAACGTTTATATAGTGGAATTCCTTGTTATCTAGAATTCCTTTGTCCAGTCCTTTTTTTAAAAAGGATACTAATTTTTCTTTGATATTTTCTGTGGGATTTGCATTTAGTTTAACCCCCTCTGTTCCTGTACGTCATTGGTCTGATCTCAATTATGTGTCTGTTAGTCCACCCATTGTACTGCGCTACAGAATTTGTTGGCGCTATATAAATAATAAAATAATAATAATAATAATAATAATATAGGTGGCAGAGTGTGTATATGTGTGTGTATGAATGCAGTGTGTGTATGTGTGATGCAGAGTGTGTTTGTGTGTGTGATGCAGAGCCTTGGTGGGGGGTGGGCATTTTTATAATTTTTTTAAATTATTATTATTATTTTAATATTATTTTTTTTATATTATTAATATTTTATTTTTATTTTATTATTATTTAAATTTTTATTTATTTATATTTATTTCTGTCCCCCCTCCCTGCTTGTTAGCTGGCCATGGAGGGGGGCTATCATTCCCTGGTGGTCCAGTGGATGGGCTGTGTAGGAGGGGGGCTGGCAGAGAGCTGTAACTTACCTTTCCTGCAGCTCCTGTCAGCTCCCTTCTCTCTCCTCTGGTCCGGTCAGCTCCCCTGTCAGCTCCCCTGTAAGTCTCGCGAGAGCCGCGGGGTCAGAGCGTTGTCACGGGCTTGTAATGAGCCCAGCGGTCCTGGTCTGTATTATGGCAATGTAAGTTCCCATAATACAGACATTGACTCGAGTATAAGTCGAGTGGGGGGTTTTCAGCACAAAAAATGTGCTGAAAAACTCGTCTTATACTCGAGTATATACGGGTAACTGTTGTTCCCTTTGCAGTTATTTACAAATGGATGTGTATGCACAATTGGATTTTGCTTACTGAAAGGCCAGGAATGCAATGATGTCCCATAGTGCTGCACATTCCATATATGAACTCAGCTTATAGGCACTGTAAAGCCACATCACCAAATGCATTTTACTTTTGAGTTTACTGTACAAAAGACCTGTGGTGTCCAAACACTGTTGTAAATTATCTATATAACAACCTCCAACTTTCTCTGCAGGTGGATAGAAATCTGTTTTGCCTACTGGCAAGGTTTGCCTAACTCAGGAATTATTGAAAGAAAAATACTTTTCGGGTTATCTACATGTTAATGGCATGTTACTTCTATTTTTGAAAGTAAAATTTCAATGAGCCTAAGGCATACATGTTAAAATGCTCAGAGAATGTGAGGTTGCTAGAAACATGTCAAACTTATCACGCAGTGGTTTTATCCCTTATGTGTAGCAGTAGCCTAGTACATGGTTAAAGGGTACACTGTTATTTATATTAATAATAAAAAAAACTTCCCCCTAGATAAAATACTTCTTAACCCAAACTCCATATGCTGGATACATCCTAACACTTCATAGAAACATAGAAACATAGAATGTGACGGCAGATAAGAACCATTCGGCCCATCTAGTCTGCCCAATTTTCTAAATACTTTCATTAGTCCCTGGCTTTATCTTATAGTTAGGATAGCCTTATGCCTATCCCAC